AATAATTGTCTAGCCTTAACTAAATAATTTAAGATTATACACGTCGACCAAATAACCAAAGCTCAGAAAAAAGTTTTGTAACCACACATTAATATACATGCCTCAAAAAGACACATTAAATTAGTAATATTCTCACCTCTTAGTGAAAAAGTAAATCAATTAAGACAAATGGGGAATAATCTACATTGCAAGTTCAAGTAGATTATGGAGACTGTAGTTGATAACCCCCCATTAAGGTGTTGTTTTAATATAGATCAAGGTCGACAAACACTGCGACTAAAACACGAATAAATAATAACAATTAACGAAGAACTAGGTTTGAGCCAAACCGAACAGTACAAGGCCGGTAATTAGTAATAGTTATTAGTGAAGTTGTCGATCCATTATAGTTATTTTGGACACCAAACTTACTATATGTGTACAGTAACATGCTTACCTAATTTCTTAAAGATATCATGATTATTATCATCAGAAGTATAAATATATTTTTTTTTGTGGATTATCATCACTCCAAATGCGACAAATTTGTTTAATAACCTTCTCATTCAACCAATCGTAAGCTTCATCGCTGAACAAAATATTCTTGTGAAAAATGGGATCGGTGGCCCCATTCTTCCATTCTTCAATTTAATTCTTTCACGCGTTTCTCTTTTCATTTATTTCGCAAGTAACAGCTGTCAAAAACACTGACTGCGAAAAAGTATTGTTTCATTTTAAACCACATGTCTACAAAAAGGCACCCTTACAATAGAGCATTAGTTAGATTGGACTATTAAAAACTTTGAACAGTACCGATATACATAATAATAATAATAATAAACCCAACGATTACCCTCCTCCCGCCCAACCGCCGCGAGGGGCGCAATCCGCATACGTGCGGAATTAGCCGAGTCAGAAAAGGCAAGAGAGTTTTTTAAGTGTTGAGATCTAAAACTGCTCAGCTACAGAAACAAAAATTTCAACAGCTAAGATCTAAAGTTACAATATAATAAATTGTTACATTTTCATTTATTAAGAGAAAACAATAAAGTCTTTTTAATTTTGAAAAGTGAGTCAGATAAGTCAAATGTGCTGGAATGAGAATTAAAATCAGGACATATACGGCGGAATGGCTCGTTTAGTTCAAAATTTGATCTACAGGATTTTAGCAGTAAAGGTCTAAACTACCTCGAAAGGCGAACCGGGATATTAAATATAATTTCAGACAGGAGAAAAGAACTGCAAACAGTTCCATTCAAAAGTTTCACTAAGAATATTACGCCAAGCATTTCCCTATGACTAGATAGTGTAGGTAGATTAATAAGTTTTAAACGACTTGTGTATGGAGGTAGACTTACCCTAGCATCCCATCGGAAATGCGTTAAGGCGAAAAGTAAAAATTGTTTTTGAACCGACTCTAACTTGTCAGAATGGATTTGGTAGCTAGGGTTCCATACCACAGAGCCATATTCCAATATAGGTCTAACCAAAGTTGTATAAAGTGTTTTAGTAATATACGGATCTCTAAATTCTTTAGACCAGCGTTTAACAAAACTGAGGACAGCTTTTGCTTTCAAGACCATGGTATCAATATGAAGACTGAAATTAAGCTTAGGGTCCATAATAACTCCCAAATCAACATAGTTAAAAACTTGCTCTAGAATATGGTGTTTTATTACATAAGAAGAGGGGTGCACAGATCTACGGGATAAGCACATCGTCTTACATTTATTGAGATTCAATGGCAAATCATTTCTATCACAACATGCAACCAAATTGTTTAAGTCTGTTTGCAACAGACACCTTTCCTCAGTTGAAGTGTATGATTTAAAAAGCTTTACGTCGTCAGCGTATAATAAAATTTTTGAGAATTCTATTACTGAAGAGATATCGTTAATAAACAACAAGAACAGAATCGGGCCAAGATGACTACCTTGCGGAACACCTGAAGAAACATTAATTGTATCTGAAGGTGTATCCTCAAATATCACTCGTTGTGTTCTATTATAAAGATAGGAAAATACCCATTGAAGGAATCTTGGCTGAAAGCCCAGCAGATCAAGTTTATGTATGAGAATCGAGATATTTACTTTATCGAAAGCTTTGCTAAAGTCTGTGTATATAACATCCGTATGCTTAAGTTCCCTAAATCCCAATGATACATGGTTTACAAATTCAAGTAAGTTTGTTATAGTCGAATTCCCTTTACGAAATCCATGCTGAGATGAGGAAATTAACGGAGAAATCGAAAAGGTGATATGGTCAGGGATGATAGCTTCAAAAAGTTTAGGTATAACTGATAGTTTTGCGATACCTCTATAGTTTTCAATGTTGGATCTAAATCCACTTTTATGCAAAGGGATTATAAATGACTGTTTCCATATTGAAGGAAATATACCGTGTTTAAGAGAGGAATTAAATATCCTTGTCAAAGGCAAGTAAATGTATTTGGCACTATTTTTTAGGAAGCATGAGGGTATCATGTCTGGGCCATAACTAAAAGATGGTTTTAACTTATTTAAATTAAATAGGACGTCTTCTTCAGAAATAATTGGAGCGTTAATTAAAGTATTCGAACACAGCACTTGCTGATAAGAAAAAGTTTTGAAAGAATTATTACAGTAGTTTGACTTGAAAAATTCTGCAAACATATTGGTTATAATATCATTGTCACTTGAAATGATAGATTTGTATTTCATTGCGGACAGAAATTTGGAAATCCTGCGTTTGGAGTTGACGAAATCATAAAACGATTTTGGATTACTTACAATATTTTTTTTAACTTTATTTAAGTAATTATTATAACATTTTTTTGTTTAGGTCAAAATATTGTCGACGCAATAGAGAATATTTAGAATAGTCGACAAGTGAACCGGTTTTTTTTAAATGTTTAAAGGCTCGAGTTTTTCTCTTTTTCAATTTATATAACTCTTTCGAAAACCACGAACTTATACTTTTGCTTTTATTAACAATTACTATTGGAACATACTTTTCAAATAATTTCATAATAATGTTATTAAAATGAGAGACACTCAATTCAATGTCACCATTATAATTAGGCCATGTTATTGTAGAAAGTTCTGTATTTAATTTTTTTAAATTAGCTTTTGCAAAGTTAAACCGAGTACAGAAGCACGAAGTTTGATGATTATTATCCCGTACAATGCCTGAGATTTCGACAGATATTTCCAAAGCAGGATGATATGAGTCCTCTGGTAGAACAAGAGGATTACTCTGAATAACGGAACACTTTGAAGAGGTATCAACGTATACTAAATCTAAGCATTTACCAAATTTATTCGGAATCAAATTAATTTGGTTCAGACCCAACTCGGACATTTTTTCGAAAAACTCATTAAAACATGACCGATTGCAAATCGGCACGATATAGTCATCGAAAGGTTTCCACGAAGCACACGGTAAATTGAAATCACCTAATACAATTATTGAATCTGCATTATTTGCCATCGAGGTAGCACTATTTATTAAAGAAGCATGCTGCATGTATACAGATAAGTCCGAATGGGGTGGTATATAAGATAGGGTTAAATAAATAAAGCAACTATTAACGTATACTCTAATACATTTAAATTCAAATGAGTCGGTCCCTGGAACAAGAATATTTTCAGATGGGATAGAGGAATGCACGGCAAATAGAACACCTCCACCGATTCTGTTCAGTCGATCACATCTAAAAATTTGAAATTCGCTGTTTAAAATCTCATTATCAAAAATGTGAGGTTTTAACCAAGTTTCTGTAAATCCAATTATATGGAAATTAAAATTGGAACTGTTCAAATACAAGTCACTTAATTTTGTATTAAGATCTCTAACATTTTGATAATAAATGCTTAGCGAATTTCTACCAATCAGTTTTTTATATCGGTGGTTGCTTTTGGTAATTTAACAATGTTTTCCTCAGTTTGACTTCTAAGTTTAGGTTTAAATTCGCGTACAAAAGCCCCAGGTGGCCAGAATGAACTATCTAAGATCTTTTTGAATGTTTCAAGAGATACGTCTATTTTAAACGATGATATACTTCTATCATAATTGAAGTTAAATTTACGTATATGTATATCATCGATTTTTAAACGTGACGAAATGTAAGATTTAATGTCCTCCACCAAGGTATCTTTGGCAAGTCTCGAAATAAATACAGACTTTTTAGGTGGAATAACTATCAAATTATTAACTGATGTTACTAAGTTAATAGGGGGAGCCTCTGGAATTGTGAGACACTTATTACTATTAGATAGAGCTTTTGGGGAATTGAGCTCTTTGGAAGTTGACGGCTTATCACCTTGAGGGCAAGGAGAAGAGAGATTTATTAGGTCATTGGGAGGAGACGTTCTTTTCTTTACAGAAGAACTAAGTGTTACTTCATCGGAAGGACGTTTACGCTTAGAAGCAGGTTTAGAGGATTCGTGAGAATCATTCAGGCACTTGAAAGATTTGAACAATTTTTAATAGTGCCTAAATTTTTCAGTGAGGGTTACAAGATCACGACCGATTTCGTTAAAGCCATTGCGTGCCTCCCTATAAACTTTAAATAGATCGATTTCAATAGATATACAATTTAAACAGGACCAACGCAATCCCTTACAGTCGAGAATAGAATCTAAGATTCTACCAGTCAGTCCAGCACATTTAATATTTGCAAACCCATCACAAAGCCAGCATGAAACGTAGCGATCTGACTCGCCTTTAATGTTACAATTGGGGAAGTTACAAGACATAATAAACCACAAGAATGAGGATCAAATAAAAGAGAAAGTAGAACAAAATTTAATAGATAAATAATAAATTAGTGTGTTAATAAAATATTAATAGTAATAAATTCAATTAAGAACACTTTTTTTTATCAAAGTTTAAAACCAAGACAATTTGAAAAAGCAATATAGCGAGCAGTTTTGGAAGCACTGTAACAAATAAAAAGCTAAACGCAACACAGCTGTGAATAAATAGCTAACTCGACTCTTTTATATATATAGCATAGATTGTATCTATATGTAATGCCATTTTCTATTAAGACACACATAATCGGCTTGATACTCTGTCTTATGTGGTGAGTATGTTTGTTCATGCAAATTTAAATTATTATTAGACAGAGAAAGCTCTTTCAGCTAAAGTTGCAGTTTAGCTCGACAACTATTGTCGTAGCTGTCTGGAATAAAGCGAGTTAATATCATCTAATTCAATCAGATTTAGCAAGATTAGAATTGCAACACATTTGGGTTTAACCACTGGCCATTCAGGCCCCATGGCTGGACTCGATATAAGTGATAGTTCAAGGGTGATATATGAAAGTTTTGATTCATTTTTGGAGCCTTTTATACCCTGAACAAGGTATATTAAGTTTGCCACGAAGTTTTTAATACCTTCAAGGAACTGTCAAGCAGCGTAACGAGCTGAGTTGATTTAGCCATGTACGTATGCATGTATATATATGTATATACGCGAACTAGACATTCAGTTTTGGAGAACATACAAACTGAACGATCAAAGTCAAGTTCTTGTATGAAAACCTATTTATTTGTGAAGAGTAGTCTAGATTCGGTGCAACCGATGTTAGCGTTCTCCCTTGTTTTCAGTATAAATTTTATTTAGCTTAATTATAATAGCGTTCTTCTACTCTTCTTCTCTACAGTTGCTGGCCTTGCGTGTGTTTACCCTACTGTATGAAGTCCTGTCAGAATGCCAATCACTATTGTCCCAATTGTGACGCATACATTGGCACATACAAAAATTAACAAAATAATAACCAAAGCGGAAAATAAGAAGCTAAAGCAAAATGAAACAAACTCTTTTTAGAAACATCTTTAATAAAATAAGTAGTAGCCTAGAGCTGCATAAGAAAATGGATAATAAATGCTTCATTACATCTTAGCTATATACATATATATTATATATAATGTGAACTAATATTTGGATAAAATTAAAAACTTTTTTAAAAATACAAAATATTATTAATTTGCCATCGAAAACTGAAAACATTTCGAAATGTATGTAATCATGTATATACGTATATTCAATGATCACGCATTTAAGAAAGTCTTCTCGTAAGTAATGTGGAGATATTTTATTTTTACATAAAATAAGCAACGATCGATAAAATTAAACCGGAGGGATTAATCCTGATATAACCACATGTCGTATGTAAGGAGTTTCTTAAATTTCTCAGGAAAAGTATTTAGAAAGCTTTATATGTACAGCTATTTTGGAATAGAGTTGCCATCTCACAGAATATAAAATTAAAAAATATAAAAAAATTGTATCCGAATAAAGAGTTTCAAAAAAGCAAATTCGCAGAGTTTTATTGTGCCAAAAGTAAGGTATGACATGTAGCTAATTGGGGTAATAAGTTGAAAATTGTGTTAAGAATGGATACATATGATTACTGTATCATATAGTTGCCATACAAACTGATCGATCTAAATAAATTTTGGTATGGAGGTAAGTAGACAATTATGTTAAGAATATATACATAAGAGAAAAGCAAAATAATATTTTTAATACCCATAAAATAAATAAATCCCTAATAATTCAAGATATATTATATTTATTAATAATAATTTTAAACCCTAATTAACTGATGGGTAGGTACAAAACAAAACCTAGGTAGAAATTAAACACAAGGGGAGGTAGAAAATATAACCTAGGTAAAAAAGAACCTCTGCAATGCAACTTTTGTAATTAACGCCTTAAGATTTCTTCGAAAATTCCTTGATGATACCAAGAAAGGCAAAAGAGTTTGCAGATGTGAAGTCGGGCTCTAAAGCATTCAATAAATAGGGCCCAACACATCGGATCACTTCAGTTTACGCGAGCAGCTGAAACTTTCAACAAGGCACACTTTCAAAACAACGAAAAAAATCCTTTTCAAATAATAAGCATTATTTTAAAAATATTATTATTTTTTAAGAATAAGCATTATTTTAATTCTATTATAATTTTTTCACTGTTTATTTTTAGTATATTTTTTATTTGTATAAATATTAGGTCAAGTAAAAAGTTCTTTCGGCTTTTATTTAAGAGATGGTGTTATTGTCCATAGTACTAGTGTTACGTGTCATACTATACGGCGCTGAAAACGTGTTTATTTGCGCTAAAAGTTTGTCTTTGACAGTTTTTCGATTGATTTACTCAGTTCGTTGTGAGCGCTCATCAAAGATGGACACACAAAGAGAAAATTCGTTATATTTTACAATTTTTCTTCGATCAAGGCGAAAAAGCAGCCAAAGCGGCTGAAAAAATTAATTTAGTTTATGGGCCCGATACTGTAAACGAACGTGTAGCACAAAAGTAGTTTGCTAGGTTCCGTTCCGGTAATTTCGATGTCAAAGATGCACCACGCGTCGGGAGGCTTGTCGTCGAAAATTGCGATCAAATCATGGAAATAGTGGAAACAGACCGTCACGTGAGCACTTATTTAATTGCTGAGGAAATAAAGATAAGCCAGAAACCCTTTGGAACCATTTGCATAACCTTGGATTCAAAAAGAAGCTCGATGTTTGGGTGCCACACGAACTAACGCAAAAAACATGATGGACCGAATTTCCATCTGCGAATCGCTGCTGAATTGCTACAAAATCGACCCGTTTCTGAAGCGGATTGTGACTGGCGATGAAAAATGGGTCACTTACGACAATATCGAGCGCAAACGGTCGTGGCCAAAGCTCTGGGAAGCGGCCCAGACTAAGCTTGCACATGCCAATACTTTTCCCTTTCTTAAGACAACAATTCTTTGGAACTGTTTTGCCAATATTAATACTTAGCTTGCGTTTCCGGCACATGCCAATATTTCGAACCAATTTCCCAACTGACCAAATCTGCAATGTCAACATAATTTTGCTTGAAATTAGATTTGTTTTGTTTGGGTGAGTTTTGTGTGAAAATTTGTTGGTTGTCTACTCGAAGGTGAGCATATCCAGCTTCAAATAGGATGTTCATTGCTCCTTCTAAAGTGTTTGGGTTTCTACATGTAAGAATAGTTTTCATGGGTTCGGGAATTTTAGATTTAAAAATATTTAGAGCTGTGCGAGAGTTATTTTGAGTTACCGCATTTGCAGCGACATTTTGTCCGAGGACAAATAAGGTTTTATTGTTGAGGCGTCTAAGTATTGCTTTTATAGCATCAAAAAAGTCGAGACTTGTGGTTTTAAATGTAACTGCTCTTAGTAAATCGTAAAGTTCATCGCAACTTAGTCGATCGCCAAAATTATTTTGGAGTACTTCCTTAATTTCGGTCCAGGAAGTTGCTTGGCAATTTATTTCAATAACCTCCCTAGCTTTGCCTTTTAATTTACTTTTAATTAGGTCGGAAAATAGTCCTTGTGACAGTTCGTCATATGCTTGTAGCATGGGATGTACCCTGTCTATTAAATTTAAAAATGTCTGTAGGTTTTTATTGTCGCCGTAAAATTCAGGTAAATTTCCCAAATATTTAAGAGGATCGAACTGTATTTGAGCCATTTTTTTTTTTTTTTTTTTATAAGTCTACTTATTACAATACCTTATATTACGAAGCTGATGTTCTTCTGGTTAGTGTTATCTTCGAGATCTTCTTTGATATCCTGGGATGTGGTTTTCTGATTACAGTTGTATTTCGGCTTCTGTCCAATAGTTTCCTCTTCTGCGACGGATTTTTGCAATCAAGTTGTTGAGTGTTTTTATTTATATAAATTTTGTTGAATGTTTTTATTTTCCAGCAGCAATTTTTTTTGCGTGTTCGGGTTTTTCGAATTAGAACGTAAAATGTTTTTTATTTTCCTGCAGCAATCTTTTGCGTGCTAGGAGTTTAGAAAGTTTTACTTTTAATGTAAAATGTTTTTTTTTTTCTGCAGCAATCTTTTGCCCACAGTTTTGCACTTCGTGAATAAAAAAATTTTTTTTTTCACTGTTGTGACAATCTTTTGTCCACAATTTCGCGAAAAATTTAGATTCGGATACCGTTTTTAAGGATTAATATCCACGCACTACTTCGCACTATTTATGTTGGCTAGGACTTATCGGTATCCTACCGACTGCGCCACTTTTAGTCTACAAGTTTTTTTAAACAAAAAAAAAAAATTAAATTAAATTATTTTCTTTATTCACTTGTTTATTACGTTCCTCTTGGAATTACATATTACGACTGACTTAACTTCTAACAAAGTGCAACACTTATATCAAAATTATGTTGACATTGCATATTTGGTCAGTTGGGAAATTGGTTCGAAATATTGGCATGTGCCGGAAACGCAAGCTAAGTATTAATATTGGCAAAACAGTTCCAAAGAATTGTTTTGTCTTAAGAAAGGGAAAAGTATTGGCATGTGCAAGTTCGGTAAGTTTAGTAAATTAATATTAATTTATATTATGTTGAGGGGTTTTGCTATAACACATCATCAGTTGCTGTTAGGCGACATATGTTAAAGTCACCAAGGACTACTGACGGTCCATTATACTGTTCAGTTATCTGACGGATATTATTTTCCACTTGGTTTCTAAATTCGGATGTCTACTATGGCGAGTTCCTGTTCACAAGTGATATGGAAACTGTTGAATTGTTTACGTTTAACAGTTGGTAAAACGTTTGTTGAACCGGTGTCGTTCTTAATAATCATTCTGATAGACCTGGGCACCTATCAACTAGGCGTCGTCAGGATGATCTTGTTTCTCCATCAAGGCGTACGTAACACTGTAGCCTTCTATTGAAATTCTGCTTGAGGTAAGGCACATGTCTCGGCAAAGCACATAGCGTTGAAAGTTCAAGAGCCACCCATGGAGAAATGAGGAAACATACTTATTAAATAATGACGTCGAGAGTATTTGCAATTCACACAAGGAGCAAATTGAGCTGAATAAGCTCAAATATGACAAATTTTCATCGAACGAACTAGAACTGATTTTGGAAAACCTTCATGTCACAGCGGAAGAAACAGCTGATGATCGAGCTGCCTCACAACTTTTAGAACAGGAATTTAGAGCTCTAGCCGTTCCAGAGCAAACAGGAGACATTAATGTTTTTCAAGAGCACAACAATACAGAGGAAGAGGAAGAGGCGGTTCGATTAATTAAACTCCCACCTCTAATATTAGAAGACCATTTACTGGCAATGGTGCAGTCACTTAACAGCAAACAGAGGGAATATTTTGCTCATGTAATGCACAATGTCAGTAAAAGGGAAATCTTCTTCGAATATGTCGGAGGCGGTGCTGGAGTGGGCAAGAGTCGGCATATAACAACTATATATCAATCGTTGACATTGCGAGCTAAGGAGGAACCAACCCCAAAACAGCCAAGGTGTTACTCTGCGCACCCACTGGCAAAGCAGCATTTGGAATTTGGGGCCTAACCCTTCATTGGGTTTTTTCACTCCCCGCCAACCAGTCTTCCGGCGATCTTCGGCCACTAAATAGTGACACATTAAACACAATTCATGCCAATCTCATAGATATTAGGCTTATTATAATTGACGAAATTTCAATGGTTGGAGCAAAAATGTTTGCATATTTAGATTGCAGGCTAAAGCAAATTTTCAGGAGCACCGCTTACTTTGGAGGCATACCAATTATCGTGTTTGGTGACTTAAAGCAGCTGCCGCCAGTAGGAGATCGATGGATATTTGCGCCGAATAGGAATGATCATTACAGTACAATTACAGGAACACCGCTTTGGGATCAATTTCGGTACTTTGAGTTCACTGAAATAATGCGCCAGCGTGAAGATCAAGCATTTGCTATCGCTTTAAATAACATGTCAGAGGGAAATATGACACACGCTGACAACCAATTAATCAAAAGCAGGGAAAAGACCTCTAATGAGATACCGAACGAAGCCATCCATCTATTTTATTCAAATGCTGGAGCAAATGATTTTAATTTAACTAAACTGGCGAACACGATGACCGAGGAGTTCATTTCGACTGCGAAGGATACAATTAAGTCAAGTTCCCTAACAGAACGCAGCAGGGCA